CTACTGGTGAGAACTGCAAAGTACAAGAAATGTTAGTCATACCAAGTCATGTAGGCTTAATTTAGAATCCAAGTTGTTGTATTTGACATGGATACAACACAGGCCTATAAGTGTTTGATGATCTTAATCCTACTTACATAATCTAATCTTTGCATACTATTTCAGCATTTTTAATATACAATTTAAAAAGTAAAGTAAAATAATTCATTTTCTATGCAAACATAATTTATTGATCTACTTGCATATAAAGCATAATTTTCACACACTTGTATAGGTATGTTTCACATTGTCACAAAAAATATTGTTTTGGGCCCTCAAGAGTACGTAAGTAATTTTCAAGTAACAACCAAAAATACAGACAGCAATGCCAGTAATAAGCTATGCAGTACTTTTTACAGAATTCATATAATTTTCTCCTGTAGGTCTATGGCTTGGTGTCAGCATTGCGTTCTTATACTGGTTCTATTGGAGAGGATCTGTTCACTTATAAAACTTTAATGCTGAGAGGTGTGAGACTGGCAACATGGAACCAAATTCTGGATCCTTGGGTCTACATTCTGCTGCGTCGCACTGTCCTCCGGAAGATCTACCTCATAGCCAAGTGCCAGGCCGGCCTGAGGAGCAGTGTGCTCGGGCGCTGGGAGCCGACATCCTACCCAACCACAGACAAGAATCAGGTTGATCAAGTATAACTGGACAAAATGCAGAAGTGTATGTGTGTGTCAACAGCTGCCTAAAGATGTATCCAAATTAGGGGTTCTCCCAGGTGATCTAACAATTGTTTTGAATTGTTATTGTTATAATTGCTGTACTGAGGGCTCTCACTGCTCAGTACAACACAGAATGGAATCTCTCTTAACACTATGCTCTATTTTCCTATTTTTTCATCTGTCAGTCATGAGCTCTCAAACATTAGTCTATCAAGCTTAACCTCTCTCACTACTTGATACTTTGCACCTGATGTCATCAACATTCCCTAGGGGTGTGACGCTAACTGTAAGCACTGCTCTATCTGAGGCTTGTTAGACTTTAATCTGAGCTTTATTTTAACATAATCAGAAATAAAAAGAGATGGTTTAGTTGGAAATACAAGAGGTAACCTGATTTGTGATGTTAAACACATACAATCTCTCACACATAAAATTACATTCACAAGATAGCTAGCATTTGTCAACAATTTCTCACACTTTTAGGTGAAAATTAAACACCCAAACAGGACCATGGACACCCGTATTGATCACAGGCTCCAGAAAATATGTTTTAACTGATTTTGTGTTTTTGAGTTTTCAGATTAATGTGTGCATTTTGTCACCATGGTAACTACAGAAACATTCCACCATAAAAATACATGTAAAAGACCTCCAGCATGATGTCACTGCAAAGTATCAATAGAGGTCATGCAGACATCACAACATTCCACATTTTAACATGAGTGACATTATATGATACGAATGTCAAAGGCACGTATTGACATTTTTTTCTATAAAAGCTCAAAACACATCTAAAATGTGCTGCTATAGCTTAATAAAAAATATGAAAGTCTGCAACTCTAGTAAATATTTTGTTTGTACCTGAGATCTAAAGAAAATCAAGTCAACAGTAACAGAAAACCGATGAAGAGTTATTTAAACAAAAGGACACTTCAGACTGCACACACATTTATATATCACTGATACAGATGTTGGCGCTAGACACAGCTGAACTGAACCTTTCTCTGCTTTCAGTTTCCATTTTGTCGTATAAAGCAAATTTGAGCAAAAATAATTGCCTAGCAAATCCAAAATTATATCTCTCTGTATTTTTATACAAATTTATATCAATCTGGTCCACACGCCCTCCATTCCAGTTCTGCCCAGGTTTCTGCGAGTACCATACAGTCAGAATGTTAAAGGGCGTTTTTCATATAAAATTATTTCAGTGCATAAGCATAAACAGTGCATAAGTGTCAGTGTGATGATATGGTTGACTGTGGTTAATTAGTTTAAAAACCATGCATAGGCCTGCATACCATCAACCTCAAAGGGTTATGTTCACATTATATCATAATGTAAGATTGAGGTGAGGAACTTTGAGATGGTTTTTGTGCTTTTTTGTGGAAACACAAAACAACTCAAAGTCATCCCAATAAAGATGGGGGAGGTCCACTATATAACTGTACCATCTAATAGCCTAGATTGTGATTCTAACCTGTAAACTGAACCTCGAGATTAATAGTTTATGTGTGTACCCTAGCGCTAAAATAACAGAAAAGACAGGCTATTCAAACATTTGTCATTTGAATAGCCTATTTAATATATTATTATTATTATTATTATTATTATTATTATTATTATTATTATTAATAATAATAATAATAATAATAATAATAATAATAATAATGTTTTGACCATAGGTTGTTTTTTGACTTGGCATACTTGTTCTGCGACATTGGAAATAAAATTTCCTAAAAAGTGTCTTTTTTCCTTGGCCAAAAGCATTCATGTTTACATGAAAACAGATCAAACTGTGGAACAGTCTTGGAGTGCAGCACCAGCTGTAAGGGTACGTTACACCTGATTTAATTATTGTTATCAACAAATGCTGCAACTGCTTTGTCTTGGATATGCAAATTTGAAACTTTCTGAACATAATTATTAGAAATCATTAGACTTGATTATTCTTTGTTTTACATGCACAACGGGGTGGGAATAAGTATTATTCAGCCCATTCCCTTTCGAGCAAGAGACTTTAGTTTAATGACATTTTGTATATGTTATTCATTCAAAGTGTATTCATTTTTTTCTTTCCTTTCTTGGGCAAGTGTGAAAAATTATCCTAGATCAACAAGTAGCGCTATTCTCTTATGTATTCTCTTATAATAGATATAATAGATAATATAATATAATAGAAAAATTATAGAAAACAACAGAACTATACTCATGTTCTTACGAAAGAACTATAATAAAATAAAACGTTTTTTTATTATAGATCCACGGTTCTTCGTCCCCACGCTGACCATGAAGGGGGCGTAACAAACATGACGTCCGCATTCTGCGACGGTCTCCCCGAGCTGCAAGCGGAGGCTAAAGGCTAACATCATTAAAATCACCTCGAAAAGTTACGAGTGCAATTACTTAACCTGTTTGTTTAGAAAGGGTAAGCATCATTTAAAGAGCAAAGTGATACAGTTTTATTTGTAGTTCTTTGCTTGCGTCCATTCTTTGTATGTGTACCTGATATTTACTAATGGGTAAACGAACCACTGGTTAGCTAAAACTGTTGTCAGCGCCATGAACATCACAACAATAATTTGTGCATGAAGCTACTTGGCTTAATGAGTCTTGTTTAACACTACCAAATTACTGTATAAAAGACCCTGAAGAAATGTATGAGTCATTTGAATGAATGAGAATGAAAATGCAATCTTAGCGTTAGCTGTTTATTAGCTAGCACATCGTGCACCATGTATAAATTAACTTACATTTCTGAAACATTTTTGTTTATTTTTACACATTATGCCAAGAGTGTCTAGCTGCAGAGCTATGCCAGGATGCACCTCTACTGACATGTCCTGACAATTTTGCATTAGCTTCCTTTATAAACGACCTTTAATAGGAATTAGATTTCGTTACTAGTTTGAAATGAACTAGATCCATGTTGTCTCTGCTCTAAATTGCTTGCATAGGTTAGTTAATTAGTAGTTTAAAACGGCGTAAATAGCATACTTATATTATGTAAAAAGCACTATTTCAATGTGATGTTTTTTGTTTGTTTTTTTAACAGCAGGGTGTTGACAAGAATGGAGGCCGCTCAGGCAAAGTGGGATGAACGTGAGGCTTATGAAGAGCTGCTATACTGGGACGATCTGATCCAGAGAGGGCATCGGTTGCATCCACACGACTATGATAGGTAAACACACTTTCTGTTTATTATAGACATTAGATAAGAGCCAAATATAATACTATCTGTTATTTTACCATTTCCAGATACGAAGAATTGAGATATTGGTATGATTGCCTTTGCTATGAAGAAGATCTAAGACAATACCATGACTATCTTGCTGCTATAGAGGAAATTGAAGGTCAAATGCAACATGAGGTTAGAAATAAATAATAAATAATGGATTTTAGCTTCTATGTGTTGTATTCAAATTGGAACTAAAAACTTTTTTTTTCTAAAGCAAACGGCAGCACAGACATGTCCTCGGCCTTATGATCGTCATGTAATGGCTAAACATTCAGATATCTATCCTTCGGCAAGGTTCCTAGATGCTATACAAATGATTATCTCCCATGTAGAACATGCTCTTAAGACCGTCTCGGATCAAATGGATGCTACACCAAGGTATGGCATGCCTTCAATTTCACACACTATTCTAGAGGTATTAAAGTGTCTTTATTGTAGTAACCTGTTTTGATCTTCATCATTTCAGTGAATTCAGTGATGAACAAGGCCGTGTGTTGCGTGGGGTTATGAGGGTTGGGTTGGTCGCCAAAGGACTTATACTGAAGGGTGATAAAGATCTTGAGCTGATCCTGCTTTCATCAAAAAAGCCTACAGTCACTCTCCTCAGACAAGTAACAGAAAAACTAGCAGTAGAGTTAGAGGTATGACCACATAAGCCTAAAAGGATGTGTGCTGTCATATCATATGTTTGTTAATGTTCTTTTGCTTCTTAACTTTCAGAATATTTCACCGGAAATGTACACAATAGCTGACAGCCCTGAAAATGCTGCTATTGTCGTCCAAAGCACCACTAAGCCCATCCTGACTCTTCAGGTCTATTTGACGTCACCTTTGGTCAGGACAGTCAAAGACACCGAAACAGATGAGGGTATGTATAACATGGACCTTATGTGTGAGGCCCAAGGCACACCACCACTCCACTTCATAGATGTATTTCATCAATGGTCAATGAACTATGCAGTGGATATCTCTCCCCTGAACAATTGTTAATTGGCTCGTTCCAAAGTGATCGTCGACATATTATAATATTGGTTTTGTAAGCATATAGATTTTAATCACTAAATTGAATATTGTCTTATTCAAATGTTGAAGCGCGGAAAAATATGTCTCAATTTAGTAACATTTGACACCATCTGCAGCAAAACTGATTTAGGCTATTCAGGGTGTTTTCTTTAAATGACCCAAAGTTACATAATTTTCTTTGACTTTGTATTTCGTATTTTCCATTTACCTTAATGGAACTGACAAATGGTACTCTGGAAATGCTATGGCTTATAATTATAAATTTAAAAAGTAGGAATGCTTTGACAGAAATTACCCCATAATCCCAAGGGGTCCTGTTTATCAAGACGCTGTGGGCTGTATGAAGTATTCTTTGTACAATTCAGGTCAAAGTGACTCAGTTTTGCTGCACTGAGAGGGAAGTCAAACTTTTGAATGCTTGTAACTTGTTACTGATCATCTTCTAGTTTGTGAAGTTTTTTAGGAAAGCTGGACCTTTGACCAATTGGATACACTGTCTTGAAAAAGGAGAAAATGGCCAACTCAAACCAAAGGACTGTGGAAAGGACAAAATGCATTTGTAACTCTTAAAAGTTAACAACATTTAAATTCATTTCCTTTGACATTCCATGTGTTTTTGTTATAAAGAAAATAACTTTCAGTTAGTGTGTTTCTCCTTTCCTCAATACATGGTTTGGGAAAGCAGCTACTCCCTAAACTTCAAGACAGAGCCAAGCCCTTGGTCAAACTGTACCTTTTCTTCTTACTCCACCCCGTCAATAGAAACGCAAACGGTCAGCGATCCGCCGGACATTCTGGACAGGCAGAAATGCCTTACTGCCTTGGCATCTCTTCGCCATGCCAAGTGGTTCCAGGTTTGCATTCACGTCCTTATTTGTACGTAACATTGTTTAGTATTTAATAATATTCACTCCTGTCCATATCAAAATTTTTAAAAAATCAATCTTGATTGAAGTGAATGAACAAGAGAATATGTCGTTGGTGACAACATTGGCCTATGCGCTATTTTCCAATATTAAAAAAAATAATCGAGTCATCTCAAAATCAACCCTAGTTTTCATTTTGTCTATTGCAGATTAGAGTTGATTGTGAGATTTACTCATTTAACTGTCAAGACACCTTTTAGAAATGTACACCCTTTGTCTTTTTAACTGTATTTTCTCCACAGGCCAAAGTCAATGAGCTGAACTCTGCACTTGTTGTAATTCGGATCTTGAGAGACTTGTGTATCCGCGTGCCTACCTGGCAGCCACTCTCTGGATGGGTATGTTTTCTTTTCCTTTCTAAAAATGGCACATCAGTTTATTCAAATTCTTATGCTTTTTTCAGCTTTATCTTAATGTGTGCTTTCATTAGCCTCTTGAACTGCTGGTAGAGAAAGCCATTGTGACGTCTGAGAGGCCCCTGGGAGCTGGAGAGGCTTTGCGCAGAGTCTTTGAATCCATCTCTTCTGGACTGCTTTTAGAAGGTTATGCTCCATCCAATATGTACAGATTAGTGTTTCCTATCCCTCCAATTTCATTGCTGTAGAAGATTTTTGGATGTTACACTACATGATGTGAGGAATTAAAAATGATAAGATAGCGCACACGCACACTATGCACTGGTTCTCGGTTATTATCACAGTCTGCTCTCCATGTAGTAAAGTCACCTACTGGTTAGCTAGTGCTACATGCTAGCGTTTTTAAATGCCATTACTTAATGTTTACTGTTTACTATTGGTCACATGTTTGTCAAAGATTGAAATCAGTCACAGTTCTTATGACATTTCAAAGTTTAATTGCTGACCTTGTCTCACTGTGAGATTGTGAGACCTACAACTTTGAGCCAAGATTTTTCCCATGATCAAAATTTTTAATCACAGACAACCAAAATTATGCAGTGTTCACCTGTCTTAACAGTGAAAGTATTATATGTGACTGCTAAGGTTATTTGTTTTTGTTCAAAGATGGGCCTGGAATTAAGGACCCATGTGAGAAGGATCCAGTGGATGCCATTGAACACTTGTCAACGCAGCAGCGTGAAGACATCACAGCGAATGCACAGGTAAATTATTTACATTCAAGTTCACAAAAGCCCACACTTTGATCTTAACAGTTCTTTTTATACAGCATATCCTGAGGCAGTGGGCATTTGGACAGATGCGCAAGGTCCTGGGAATGGGTGCAAAACCCAAAAAACCCCAGAAACCTGAATCCTCTGCAAATATTTCAGGTATTCTTCATACCTTTGCTGCCTTTCACTTTAAACTATTTAAATATGATATTGATGTTAAATTTTTTTTTAGCATCAGGACCACGGTTTTACCCACCAGCTAAGAGATCTTTTTCAGCTATAGATACAGGAGAGGAACAGCCACACCTTAACAGTAAACAACGCAAGTTTCAAAAGCGCTTTCAGAGAAAACCATGTTCGTAATTGAAATCAATCGATCATTTTGTGTTGACAAATGTCAGGCTCTAATGTTATGTTATTATTACAGTCAGTGATGACATAAATATGAATGCTGTGATGCGTCTAAACCAGTACAGGCCTGGCCTGGCGTATCGCCTCACATCACAAAGTGGTCCTGTGCATGAGCCAGTATTCACAATGGCTGTGGACTTCAATGGAAAGACTTATGAAGCTACTGGTCCTTCCAAAAGATCAGCAAAGATTAATGTAGCTACCAAGGTACTTTACTTAGACTTCTTAACTGTGTCTATCAAGCAATTGTGCTGCAGTAAAACAATGTAAACCCTGTTTTTAGGTCTTGCAAGATCTTGGTCTTTCAACTGCTCCTGCAGAATCGAATGGTTCAAATGGAGGACAAGATGCAGGGAAAGCTTCTGCCTCAACCACAGCTGGATCAGACGAGGTGAGTTTCCTGTAACCATGATCTGTGTGGTACAGTCAGTCTCTAATGTCTTATCTTTTGGGGCAGGGAGGGTTAGGTCCCATATTGACAAAAAATGGCAAGAATCCAGTGATGGAGTTGAATGAAAAACGCCGGAGTTTGAGGTATGAGCTCTCAGCAGAGACTGGGGGATCACATGAGAAGTGCTTTGTTATTGAGGTCAGTATTATTAACTTGCATACCACATCTGTCAAATTAAATGTATCGACAACAGTATGATAATCCTTCTGCATGTTAGGTGGATGTTGATGGACAAAAGTTCAAAGGAAGTGGCTCAAACAAGAAGGAGGCCAAGGCCCGTGCTGCTTTGGCAGCTTTGGAAAGTTTATTTCCTGAAGATCATTCCAGATTTTATCAAAAGAAGAAGGTCACCTACACAGATATGGTAAGAGATGTTCCAAACCTAAAACATACATTACTGATATTTTAATCCACTGAATAACTAAACAACAGTCTAATTATACTTTGCTGTCCCCAGCACATCCCTGGCTTCGGAACTATTCGTGGGATCCCCACTGACACTGGATCTCGAGGAAGAGGCCGGGGCCGAGGCAGAGGCCGAGACAAACCAGCCTCTGGTCCCAGCTACAACAAAAGTGAGGCAATGCTCTGAATACTGAACAATAATGTGCTTTGAACTTCTTTTGACTCTTCTTCTTCCTGTTTTTAAAAGCCAACTACAGCTATGAAAGCAGCACTGGCTCAAGCTATCGTACGTGTCTAATTTAAACAGAAATACCAAACCCTAGCTTTGGCTGAACCTGCACCCATCAGGCATAACATATTAATCTTGTGTTATGACCATCATCATCTTCACATAAATAATTTATAAATAAACTAAGGACAGTTTGTATGTATTTCAAACTGATTTTGTGAGCATATTGTGCAGTTGTGAGGTTGCATGAGAACAAGTTCCCTCTAAAAGTAACGAGGAGGCAGCACTCATGCACACTCACAATTGCACACATTGTTAATTATAGATGACAATATTATTAGGTTAATTGATTCTTTATGAATATTCAAGTAACAATAATAGTGATACTAAATAATAATAATCAGTTGCCTAGTAGAAGCAAAAAAAAGGCAATGCAATTTAGTCTAAACAAAAGAAAAAGGTTTTTACTCTACAATATTTCAGGTTGCTATAAAGACAATCCAATTCCTAAACCAGTGAACACAGACACTTGTGGCAAGGTGGGTAGAATGTCGCCCTAGGACACAGTAGTATTAGGAATCAAACAGCCTGCCTTTGGGTTTGTGGCTGAACGTCTCTCAACTGAGTTACTCTTGCCGACAAAACTCTCAATCTGTGTTATGTCACCTTTCATTGGTATTTATGTTATGCCCGATTGGTGTACTTATAGTTTACAGATTGTAAATTTATATTGTGAACTTTAACTCAAAAGTGTGTTGTCATTTTATAGATAAACTCTATGGAGGTGGTGATACCAGCACAACAGACGGCAGTAGCACCTATGGAACTTTTTACCCAGAGACCACTACATACTCTGCTGCACCTGTCTCCAACACAACCACCACCACAACTACTGCCTCACAGCCCAATTATACAGCAATGCCACCCCCTGTTGACCAACAAAGTCCCTACAGCTACGGCTATGGAGAAGAGAAAAAGAAAATGCTGACTCAAGACCAAAACTATTCCATGTACTCCACTGCCTATCCGAGTTCAGTGACAGGGGGGCAGGATTATAGTAACTATGGTAAGATCTTAATTTAAATTTTTTTATCAGCCACTTTGCCTTATTCATGTTTATGGTAACACAGGTATCAAGCCTTTGTTCAGGAATAGTAATCTATTTTATGGGTATCGGCATCGCAGATGACCTTCTGTTAATCATATTTGATGTTTTGATTGATTTTAGATGTATATTCTAGACTAAAAGTTGAGCATGGGTAACTATGAAGTGCCTTGCAATATGTTCAAAGAGCTCTATAACTATAGAGAGCTCTAGAGTTGGTTGCACACCAAAAATATAATCAATTTGCTTTCTGAAGTTGTCATATATCCTGTAAATGGCAACATTTTATTTGTGTAATCTGATTTATTTCGAATTGACCTGTGCATGTGTTAAAGAGGAAAATGTGTAAAAATTCCATCTAGTGTAGCAAATGAAAAGATTGCAGACAAAATTTAAATTATTATTTTGCAAATAATTTTACTTCAGTGTCCAAATATCCCTATTACTCAAAATGTGATTTATAAACTGACACTGAAACAAAGTGTTTTGGATCAGAATTTATTATTGTTACCTGATTACACTAGTTACCAGTGTATTCTAGTAATGTAAATGTACTGTTGGATAGAAAGGAAAAATACAGCTCACAATGTATTACAAATCTTTGCACGGTACACAGGCCATTTTTAAAGTGCTATAGACATACAGAATGAGTTTATTGTCAAACAGCCTCACATGAATTAAACATGTCATTTTTTTTGGGTGTTTCTTTAGGTTGGGGACAGCAGACCTGGGACAATCAAAACTACATGTACCAGGGTTACACGGGACAAGACCAGACTTCGTACCAGGGTTACAGTGGTACCAGTTACTAACATCATGCTACATTTTAAGTGGTGGATTTTGTCACTCTGAGTTTGTCACCTTTTACCTTACTTGATGTTGGATGTACAATAAAAGCAGATGCTGGGTTTTTTGTTTTTACTGGAGGACTGCGTCATATCAATGTTGAATGGAAGCACCTGATTAATTCCTTTCTCTTTGTGGACATTTCATTTTCATAAACAAACCATTTCTGTTACTTTCTTTCAAACACTCACAGTTTAAGCTAAGAGTATATTTGTGTGCTCTAACCCTTGTGAATAAATTATTTTAGTGGAATGGTTTTGCCTCCTTTTTTGTTTTTTGTAACATGTCACCATTGTTATTGCTACACATGCTCAAAACTGCCATTAAGAGTGGTAAAATAAAGAGCAGAAAGCAAACAAAATATGTGTGTAGGCAGGTCAAATGGGGTAAAGTAAGGTGGCTTAAAACACTGGAAAAATATGCTAATGGAACAGTGGTCACAGCCATGGGTTTGTTCTCAGTTCCCCAAATCAGAAAATAAAAAGGGAAGGAGAGGTGTGATCAACCTCTATGGAAAACTCTGGGCACTGGCTATAACATCTATAAAGGGTCACATGTTGCCCTGAAAACGCTTTAGTCTCGACTGAGTCAAGGATATGAGGCATGATCATGCCTCTCTGGAGTGGCCTGCTTGTTATAAAACAGGACCTGAGGAAGCATACTGCAGATGGAGAGGGTCTACAAGTCCACACTTATCAGCTGTGAGTGACTCTATCTCTCACAGTGCATTTCAAAACTCCTCATCAGGATTTCTACTGATTTTATTGATGTGTTGTAACCTTTAACCTTTTCAGTTGTGTGCTACAACATGCTTTGATTAGCTTCACTAGTTCCAGCTGGGATATGTCTGTTGCTGTAACCAATCACATGGCAACTTTTATAATCACTAGTGTGAGACGCTGGAGAAGGAGGAGGAGGGAGGAGAGCGCTAAAGCAAGACTTGCATTCTTTGCTTCTGCAACCACTGACCACAAACCATTTTAGTTCCTCTTTTGCTTATTTTTTTGACAAGTCATTTTTATGAGGGTTTTATGTCTGAACTTGGTATGGCTAGAGTTATATTTTAGCTAGATGTAATTGAACTGTTGTGTTTTTAAGATGGCACTTGCTCTAGTCTCCATCTTCTTTGCCATCCCAGTGGCCTCCTGCTTCCCGGCTGCCTTCCAGGAACTTGTGGAAACTGATAGTAAGTATCCAATCATGATTTTCAGTATTAAACAATTTTGTATAATATATAATGCAATGTTTTTTTCTGCAGAGAACAAGACTTCCATAAAGTTTGTGGCCATAGGGGATTGGGGAGGCGTGCCCTATCCACCGTACATCACTGCAGTGCAGAAGGCTACAGCTCAAGAAATGAGTAAAGTAGCAGAGCAGGTGGGAGCAGACTTTGTTCTGGCTCTTGGAGACAACTTCTACTATAAAGGTGTGGACAGTGTGGACTCCCCTCGATTCAAGGCAAGTTCATTTTTTTCAGCCTGTTTAAAAAAAAAAAATCTGTTTTGTAATTAATGTTGTGCATGTGCAGGAAACGTTTGAGTCTGTTTACACAGCCAAATCCCTGAAGATCCCCTGGTACGTCTTGGCTGGAAACCATGACCACATTGGAAATGTGAAGGCACAGATTGAGTACAGCCAGAAGTCCAACAGATGGTATGTTCAATAAAAATACATGTAGAGCAGATAGTCCCGCTTTGCCTTACTAGTGTTTATTTGTAGGAAGTTCCCAGCTTATTATTATGAACTGAATTTCCGCATTCCCAACACTCACAAGACCTTGACCATCATCATGCTGGACACTGTGATGCTATGTGGAAACTCAAACGACTACTCGGATGCACAGCCCAAAGGTCCTCTGCGGCAGGTGGATGCAAACCGTCAGCTGGTGTGGCTGCAGGACCGGATGGCCCGCTCTAAAGCAGACTTTCTGCTAGTGGCAGGGCACTACCCTGTGTGGTCTGTTTCTGAACATGGACCCACCCAGTGTCTGCTGCAGCAGGTGCATCCTATGCTCATTAAATACAAGGCTACAGCTTACTTTTGTGGGCATGACCACAACCTGCAGGTTTGTGCACAAGTCCTATAGATACTCCACTGATGGTACAGTAGATATATTAAAAGTCTTATTTTGTTCACAGTACATTGAGGAGTCAGGTGTTGGATATGTGGTCAGTGGAGCAGGGAACTTTCTGGACCCCGATGTTCGTCACTGGAATCATGTTCCCAAAGGCTCAGTAAAGTTCTTCACAGGACAGGCTTCCACTCTGGGAGGGTTTGTTCATGCAGAGGTGGCACAGGACAAAATGACTGTTACCTTCTACCAAGCTAAAGGTACTTCGCTTTACCGCATTGTGCTCCCTCAGCGAAAACTGGACTAATCAAGTGGTTTGTAAAGTTTGAAATCAGTCTTTTTATCTTTTTAAATTAAATATTTTATTAAAAATCTGTATCTACTTTTACATCTATAATAAATTGTTTCTTTCAAGTTCATCTGTTTTTTTACTTTTGACTTGACACAGTAGTTTTACCAGAGTGTTTTGTCATCACTTTTAAACAGGGTTCCTTTTTTTTTTTTTTTTAACTGGTACAATGAGACTTTCTTTCAGTGTGTGTACACTCAAAATTAATTTAGGTCTGCTTCATTTTAAAAATGCTTGATCTATTGTCAACTATTTGGTAGTTGATGGCGTTGGCTGTGAGGGACCAATGTAAATGCATGCTCTGGTGTGGGACTAATCCAATCAGAATGTGTTACAATTTGTTAGTGTCATCATGCCACGTCAGGCTAAGAAGTAAGTTAATGCCAATAAAGGACCATCCCAGTCTTAGCCATCACCTGAGAAGAGTCAAGGACAGGAGGGATCACCTAACCCAAGCTGACGTCAGAATGGACCAAGGCCAGTCTTAAAGAAATACACTGAGCAGGCTCAAGGCCACAAACTTAACCATTCAAATGTACTAATGTTTGGTAAGGTTTTTTCTTTAAAAAATAAATAAACTAATAAAATAAAAGAGTTACATTATTAGATTCCTACAATCAAATGCATTCATCTTGCACTCATGTTCTGATCGTGTTTGTGTGTGTGTGTTTGTGTATGTACATATTTTTTTCATTTTAATGCTAGAAGCAGGCCAAGTCTATCTAATTCTATAGCTCCAATGTAATAAAGTTTCTCTGTATTAAAGACTAAACTGTCCATCTAATCCTTTTCCTCCTAATCTCAATCTTGAGTCAGTACAGCTATGTCTGATTTAGTGACCAGTAAAATATGTAAATCATGCCATTTCCAATTTTACAAGTCATTTATAATCAGTGTAGGCTTTTGGAAAAATATACTGAATCAGTCATTGGTGGCTACAGTCAAAATGCTTCCAGTAGGTGTCTCATAACCAAAAGTGTTTTTTTTTTTTTTTTTTTTTTTTTTTTTTGTTGTATAACAGGGAACATGTGTGTTTGTAATCGGACTAAACAAATCCATCTGCACAGCTGTGTCCAAGCCTCACTCCAGCTGTTGAACAAGTCCTCGGGATTTTATGGGTCAAAACAAATACAGTAGTGCATTTGCCATATTGTCAGCACAATTTTACAGTATGGCAATGGATGTTTACAGTGCAGAAGCCACAGTTCATTTCATATGTACAGGTTTAGCCAGTGTATTTTGTTGTTTGTTTGTTGTATGTTTGTTGCTGTACTTTTTACTTTTTTTCTTATTTAATAACTACCCATAAGAGTCATTTGTATACTGTACATAACCATGACATGACCATGAGCAATAAGAAATGTTTTTAAATTAGTGTAATTTGTATTAAAGGTACCATGCCATGTCTGCTACTAATTCAATTAGGTACAGCCTTTTACTTAACCACACAGGGCAGGTCAGGTATATTTAGTAGTAATGAATAGTGGTGCAACAAAGATTACTTGTAGCATTATTTCTATCAGCACCCATCTTTGTACAGGTTAACCAGCTGCCATATATGTGAATGGAGCTAAGGAAAATTCCATATTTTGGTACTTGAGGAAAATATTCATCTTGCATTTTATTGTTGCAGTTAATGGAAGCTCAGTTCAGGGTTAAGTGGGAACATATTTAGACAAATTTCAATGGAAAAAATAAATGTACAAGAAATAGTCCTGGTTCAGCTTGAGTCTATTCACTTCACCTCCATGCTCCTTCAAATACAATCACAAATTATTTTCATTCAGAGATGAAGTAGTGAAACAATTGTATCACTGTTAAATCTTCTTAGGCTTGCCCAGGGACACAAGTTGGCTGAGATGTGGAGGGTGATCTTGATGCTACATTAACTTGGCACAACCCCACAGGAAGCTTTAAAAAGAGAGGCTGTCCCCACAAGGGTCATCTCTCACATGTCAAAGCAGGTAGTGAAAATAAAATAATTATTCTGCAATTATTTGCATGTATTTCAAATCTGAGCATTATTTGATCCTATACATACTGTATCATCTCCTGTCTCAATCATTTTTTAACTATCCTTTGCCTCCTTTGCAGGTACAAAAACACATATAAACCACATATAAAACTTTTCATTTTAGGCTTGACTTCTTTTGGGAATAGAAAAGTAGTTTTAAGCCCGACTTTAAAAGTAGGCTGGCAAAACGTAACATCATGGACTCTCCTTTCATCAGCGGGATATCAGTTGGAGTTTGACCGTTAATCAACCAGAACCAGATGCGGTGTCTTGGGACATTTGCCCTAAGATGATAAATCAATGCAAGTCTTTAAAACTTGTGCACCCCTTGCTTTTTACTACTTGTTGCATGTTCTTTGGATGCAATGTCTCCTTAGTTTTCCATAATCCTTTCATGCTTCACTCTCCTTGGGGCTCAGGTACTCTCTGATGTGCATTGGGCTGCCGATGTGGTGAAGTGCATGGGGGAAGAAGGAAGGAATGTAAGGGATCACGGCCATCATAGGGCTGTGAGCGGGGCTCTCATCATGTGGTGTCATGGGGATGATGACATCGTCCTGGTCCCACACATGGAAGGCGTTTTGGTGCGAGTGGCTCACTGAGGCTGGGATGTGCAGAGGACTCAGTCCCTCTGCCTCTCCATCCTTCTTCAAGTCTTCCTCTAACGGTCCTAACAAACAATCTGAACAAAAAAGAAGACTTAGAAATACAATAATTCCTCTGTTTTCATGTACATATGAACTTACACTCCTCAAACAAACGGAGTTTTCATTGAATATATGTACTACCTTTTTCTTTTCTGTATATTATGTAACTCTCGGTCAGACGAATAGATATATTGAGTACTTTACTAACTTTACTGTATGCTATTGGGTTTGGATGTTGTTTGTTTTCATTGTGCTCCTGATACCTCAGACAAACAGGCAATAAAGGCTTATCTTATCTTCACTGTAATTTGTAATTTATAAACTCCCAGTCAAACTGATTTCATCAATCAATAGTTTACTTACTTGTTTCCTCAAAAGTCAGTATCTGCTGTATATATCAATATCCCTCATTTGTTTAGCATTTTGCTTACTTTAGCATATTGCCAAATGCATAGACATCATAGTAAATTACCTGTTATATCCAGCATGAGGTCTTTGATGAGATGACCCACGATGGCATAAGCCACAGCGACCACCACCAGAGCAGCCATCAGGAGGTACAGCACAGACTTGGGCAGCTGGATCAGGTCTCTGGGAGGAGGCTTGTATTCCTTATAGAGGGGCTCCATGTTCTGGACTAAATACTGAAATGACCGTCCACCTTGATCTGTGTAGTTGAAGCTGTCCATAGTCCCACAGTCTCCAGGATGAAACTTTTTAATCCATTGTTGTTTGGATAAGGTTGTCAGGTGTTTCTACCTAAATCAGGCCCTAAAATAACCAAAATGTTCAAGAAATAAATAGATGAAAAAGCCACTTTCCTACTCCTTTGCCATATCCAAACAGAATACATTTAAATAAAGGTATTATGTTCCAGCATCATTTTGAGATTTTTTTTTTTTAAATTAACTAAACTAATATTTCACTGAGGATGCTTTTCTGATGGTTAGCAGTCAGATATCAGATACTCTCAACAAGCAGCATGCGTGTGACTGCCTGTGTGCTGCTTTCTGCCTAGGGGATTAATGAGGGGGGGGGGGGGGGGGGGGGGGGGAAGAGAGAGAGAGAGAGAGAGAGAGAGAGAGAGAGAGAGAGAGAGAGAGAGAGAGAGAGAGAGAGAGAGAGAGAGAGAGAGAAAGAGATTACTGCTCCAATCACAGCCCAGATCAATGGTCCTGTCTGTGCCCTGTCCCTGCACCAATCTGCACTGCCCTGTCCTGCTCAGATTAGCCTAATCCAATCCAGCAATCTCCACTTTCTCCACTTGGGCCCTCCCTGCTTTACTTTACTTCTAATAGGGCTGTACCTACATCTTTCTATTTGTTTAATTCAGTGTGACTAACTTTTATTTATTTATTTTATCTTGTGAGTGGAACAAAAGCAGGATTATTAAAGAAAATCATGTAGAAACAGGGACAGAAAATGTATTGAAATGTTCATGGGCATATAATGGTAGGCCTATACATTTGTGGTCATAAGAATGTGGGGAACTCTACCTGTTTATTTAGGGGGGAAAAATTCTCTAAATTATGAACAGGCTATTTTTATTTTTTAATTTTATTTTATGCAGCTATTTTATGTAGTGGTTCATTTAACTTATTTAACAAATATGTTCATTTAATTTATACTCCTAGCCTGGTAACCAGTGGTAACTTATATTTACTTAACTTGTTCAACTGTTGTTACAGAAGGTAGGAGATTTTCGTCATTCTCTGTTATTAAGGTATTCCTGTTGTTATAATGAAAAAGGAAATAGTAAATTAAATAACCAGTCTGTGTAAAATCGTATTAACAGGTAGGGCTACTAAACATTATTATTAAAGTTTGTAGTGACGTTTATGCTAGCTAACACTAGCATAAACGTATGATCAAAGTAAAGGCCGCGTTAAATGATTTCTTGCTCACTTAATGTAAATTTACTTAACTATTCCAGAGAAAACTACCATGAATTATCTCTTTGATGCTGAGATACCATCTACTTCCAGCGCTTTACCTAATCCTACTGGAGCGCAGACAACAGTGAGTTAATTTATTTCATGGAAGTTACAGACTTACAACTAATGCCCCTCACACACACACAGACCCCATTCATCAGTATTTATCACTAATTTAAGTTAATTCTGTTAAATGGGTAATATTTAATGACATTTTAGTTACTTGTGTATGTAAAAATAATTCTTTGTTTATTACAATTTTGCAGATTTTGTCAAAAGGGGATTCCAGTTCCTCAGGCAAGACTGACCAGCCTCCCAGGTAACACACCTGCCTACTGTTGCAGCCGGCAAACAAATCATTGAGCATTGCTTGTGTTAAGGTAATAACTGTAATGTATTTTGGTTGTTTGTGATGATATAAGCATTGATAAAATCAGAAATAAAGTGGAGGGATTGGTGGAAAGGATCAATACAAGTCGTGCCAGTAATAAAGAGATGGACAGCTATCAGAAGAAATTATCTGACAAGGTATATCCTCCTTTTAACACCGGAGTTTATTTGTTCCTGTAGATCTTAAATTTCATATATATGTTATGCACATTTTGCATTGGGCAGTTGTCAGAGATGTGCCAGCAGTTAAAGGATCACCTGTACTCAGTGTATGAGGACAACAGTAGTAAGATCCAGGAGGAACTGACAGAGTTATTTGAGATTTTGAACAACTGCGAGCGACTGAATCAGGAGCTTCTGGAGGCCACCCAAGCCCTATCGCATCTCAAAGACACAATTTGAACATCACATCAAATTAAAAACATGTTGCATACTTGTTTATTGATGTTCACCAGTGTTGACAGGGCTGTTTTTTCTGTTCAATGCAGCTACTAAAATGTGTATTTATTAATTTTATGTAACACAATTTCACCAATAATAAAAAAAAACATCACAAGCCTTCTTTGATCATTTTTATTTTGTGATATGATTTAACACAATTAATGAACATAACATTTAGTTTAGTCCTCAGTAAGCTCATAGAATTAATTACCTTACAAAGCTACCCTCTGTAATCACTGATTGACTGACCCCTGTGAGAGGTGAGAGGTGGTGCAGGCTTTTTGTGATGATGTTAACAATGACGTCAGCTCCAATTGGGCACTGCAGTTTTGTAACGGGAAGTCAGCGGGCTTGTTTGATTTATTTACTAATTTTATAATAGTATTATAACATAATGACCTATGGTTGTCATAGATTATAGCTATTATATTATATTATAGCAGACACAAGCACAATAAGTTAAGGCTATCCCTGTACATCTTATATAGTCCCAAAATGGTTCCTATAAGGAACAATGCAAGATCTCAAACTAAAGGTGGTTATATTTGAAATATTTTAACAAAAATGTTAAATATTATATATATACTATATATCTGGCAATACTTTGTGCTAGTTACCTTAAAAAAATATCAAAGTTTACTTTCCAACAGTAAATGACTGAAGTCCAGTGATAGCTCTGCCCAAAATCAGTGCATGTATGTCATGGGTTCCTATAACAAAAACAGAAAAGGTGCATTTTAATGTACAGACAAATGAAATATTGCAATATTTTACAAAGAATGACAAAAAATAAATAAATAGCGACTGGTAGGATTTATATAGTAATAGCAATGCTGCCCTCTGCTGGTACAAACACGTCAGCAATACAATTTAAATTGATTTACCTTCATACGTGTTTACAGCCTCCAAGTTCATAACATGACGGATGATGTGGTACTCGTCCGCAATCCCATTTCCTCCCAACATGTCCCGGGCCTGCCGTGCAATGTCCAGAGCTTTGCCACAACTATTCCTCTTCAGCATAGAGATCATTTCAGGGGCTGCTCTGTCATAGTAAGTTAAAGGCTGTTCAGCAGTTTCATATGCAACACAATTTTAATTTCAACATGACAAACATACTTTTTGTCATCAATCAGTCGTCCCAGAGTCAGGCATGATTGTAATCCAATTGTGATTTCAGTCAACATGTCAGCCATCTTCTTCTGCATGAGCTGATTCCTGGCTAAAGGCACACCAAACTGGATTCTGTTTAGAAAGAATTAAAACACACATTTAAATGACACTGATAACCATTTAAACAAATGTTTGCCATAATTTACAATACATTAATATCATTGTAGTAGGATGGAAATTAAATGCTAACTTGGATAATGAGGAATATATCCTACTACTTGTTAGGGAAAATAAGTGGCATAATAAGTTTATTTAGTATCAGTCCAGGACCCGGTGACTTGAATACTCAGCACTGTGTGTAAGTATTGGCTATTCAAGCCTGACTATACTTCCAAAGGAGGCTTAAATAGGAACTAAGACGTACAGCATGGAGCTGGCCGAGATAAAATGAGAAGTGCAAACCATGCCACTTCTATGAGACAAGTTGACCAAGGATAATGTTAAAGAAGGATAAATTCTGTAATAGTTGTATGACACCATAGCTAACCACAGAGAAATGTCAACAATGAACTGGAGGGGTTTTTGCTAAGACTATGCAGGGGATGAAAAATTCCACAACAGTACTAGTCTTCGTTGGGTCAAGATTAATTTTATATTCCCATGACATAAAGTAGTATGTCAAATATACTGTTTCCATGAGTAAGCTATTTCCATCCTGTTACCATGCTATTACTGTACTGAGAAGTGCTATCCATTTTGTCTCTAAACATTTATCAACAACATGCACCTGTCCAGGGTATACTGTCTTGCAGCGTGGAAACAAAACTCTGCCGCTCCCAGAGCTCCCCACGCAATGCCATAGCGAGCATTGTTGAGGCAGCCAAAAGGACCCTGTTTGATCACATACACAGAATGTTATTAGAATTAATGTCTTTGTTCAGAGCAGCAGTAACAGCAGAGACAGGCACTTACTGCCAGTCCAGACACATTGGGCAACAGGTTCTCCTGAGGGACCTCCACCTCATCCATCAGGATCATGCCAGTCGCAGAGGCTCTCAGAGAAAATTTTCCTTCAATTTTCGGAGTGCTGAGCCCTTTCATCCCACGCTCCAAAATGAAACCCCTCACCTTGCTGTCTTCACATTTAGCCCAGACAACAGCAATGTCTGCTACTGGGGAATTTGTGATCCTGACAAAAAATATGATTTTGATTATACTTTGGCGTTTTTTAGGTAACATACCATGTACAGCACATTCATCACAAAAATGACCCACCATGTTTTTGCTCCACTGATGCTGAAAGTGCCGCTTGAGGGGTTGTATTTAGCTTTGGTCTCCATACTGCTGGGATCACTGCCATGGTTCGGTTCAGTTAAACCAAAACAGCCCAAGATTTCTCCCCGGGCTGTAAAACAAGCAAATAGATGAATAAAAATACAGGTGAGTTAACACTAAGCACACAATTAAATACAGTAACTTACCCAGCCTGGGCAGGTACTTTTCCTTTTGAGCCTCTGTACCATATGCATTGATTGGATGCATGACCAGTGAAGACTGAACACTCATAACTGACCGATATCCACTGTCTACTCTCTCCACCTCTCGGGCAATTAAACCATAGGCTACATAACTGGTACCTGCACAGCCATACCCTAACAAAACAAAACACAATTATAGCGCATAATAAAACTCAATAAAACAAAACATATCTAAACATATCAAAATTTACCTTTAATAGTTGGTCCCAAAACTCCCAGCTCTCCCATTTCAGAAACAATTTCACGGTGAAAATCTGAAATATAAAATAATAAAATATACCTATTCTCCAAACCAACACTTTAATCATTTATTCACAAGGCTGGCTCACGTTCATGTCTGTTAGCCATCAGGATACGAGGCATGAGTTTTTCTTGACAATAGTCCCTGAAAGAATCTCTGATCATAACTTCCTCCTCTGTCAGCTGGCCCTCCAAATTCAAAGCATCCCGCCAGTCAAAAGTCACCTTGGCTGTGTCGAAATATAGGAGTGTGGCCTCACTGATTATGTCACACACATCATAATATAGTAGACATTGCACCAGTACAAAACAAATGTTTACATACCTGGTTTTGAGGATGGCTTTGGGATTTCTTCAGCATCTTTAAGATAATTTCAAGTGGTTTAGTTCATAAGAATATTTAATGTTAGTTTTATACTTGTTATTTTACATATTTATTTTAAATAGTCCATTACAGTCTTTATTTATATGTCTTAACATAAGAGAATAATTAATACATACCTTTATGTTGCGCTGAAGCTGTGCCTTGTGCTCTGGATGTTAAAACTGTTGCACATTTTTGAGAATTGGCCACGAGGCGAAAGGCAGCATTTCTAAGGGCCATTTAGCTGAAAGAGAGAGAGGTTATAATATAATGTACAATGACTTGTTGTGCAGTAACTTATACTAAAACTTAACCTCTTCTTTAATATAGCCTACTGTACTATCTTGCAATGTTTCTATTAGTGTTCAGCCAGGACTTGTATTAAGAGACGTTTTAGCTAACAAGATTTTTAAAAAGCCCAAAATGTGATATTCTCTCACAATACCAGGCAAATACTAAGCAAAGTAAACCAACAATACCTGGTGGTCTTGATCCCGAAGTGGACGTTTTAAAGATTGGTCCAAACGATTGGAAAAACCTTGTGAACATTGCTTAAGTAACTCCAGCCCCGTGTAACGTCACACGGATACGTAACATTACTGAGGCTGGTTCTGCTGGAGGACAGCGGCAGAAGCAACACGAGCTGTACTTTTCGAGTTGAGCAATACTTGTAAGTTATACAACTGTCCTTGATCAAGTTCAAGCTAAATGGTAAAATAGTTTCGTATTATTTAGTTGTACCCTACCACCCATGTAGCATATAGTAGTACACATACATACAATATAAGATTTTTGCACAGCTCCATGTGACCGAGTCATGTTGGAGGGTGTGGGCTCCCAGCCTGCAGCTGATTGGCTTTTAAAATAAGAAACCACGTACAGAAGTATTTCTCCCTCTCACTACAGTGTCACTCAGCCAGGGTCTTACTTCCATGGTCTAATTTCGAGGCTGGGAGGAGGTAATTCGGAGGGGTCAGACCACAACACACAGCACTTTGTTTACAGCTGATAACTGGTCATATCACTGCTGATAGTTAAAAGTTATAAGTGGTAGTATTTTTCCACAAAAAAATAGTTTTGCCTAATCTGTGCAGAATGCAGATGAGCCTGCACAAAGGTGGGTCCTTAATAATCTACCGCACATTACGCAAAAAATAAAACTTAATCAAAGCCAGTCGTCTACTAATTATTACGTTTGAATAAAAAGTAAGCAAATTCCTCTGAAGTAGCGGTGTGAATTTTTCAGTCACATAGAAATCATTCTGATTGGATAACAGAGCTGTCACTCAAATAAATAGCGCATGCTAATTGGTTGTCTTATTCCGAGGGCTGTTCCTGACTGCAGAGGGCTTTCGCTGGGATGGTCCCTCTCACTCCGCTTTGTAGCGGTAGCGCCTGTCTCTGTTATTGGTGTTTTTTTCCCCTCGACATTTCCATGGTAACTGTCCTGTCTGCTTTGATAATCTAAAGAGTGCCGTGTGTAAGAATGGAGATGGAGGAGAAAAACCCGGACCCAAAATATGGTGAGTGGAGATCATTTTTATTCCTATCCCTTGCTCTTTATTTTCTTCTGGGATCGGGCGAAGAAATGGAAACAATGACTGCGCTGGATGGATGGGTGTGGACTTCATGAGGTCTGCATGCAGATCTAGCTGACCATCCTCTGAAAGCCGATTTATGTCTTTGTATTGCGCTATTCAGCCAACACCACAATTTCTTTTTCCTTGTATATATGTTGTTCTAATAAATGGCGTTCAAGAAATTGAAGCGACACGATGTCAATGAATTGATGTTTGCGCGTGTGCTCCCGATTGCATGTAGGTTAGAGCTAGACCAATGACTATCACAATTAATCTATCATCATTCAATCAACATTGATTGACTGAAGAAAAATAGGCTGATTGCTACAAAAAAGACCAGTTTGTCTTGTAATGCCGTGAGCTATAGGCCACTGTTTATACACCATGTTTTTTGTTGTTGTTTTTTTTTCACTTGTTGACCAAAACTGTAATATGCCGTTTGGTGCCACTGCAGTTTCAAATCCACTCAAAACATGTAGTTCTCCCAGATTTATATATATATATATATATATATATATATATATATATATATATATATATATATATATATATATATATATATATATATATATATATCTTGTATGTCTTATATAAGTTTGGTGTAATATGGAAAAAGAAGCCATGGTGCCAGCTCCAGCCATGACTCACTCACTGCTGATTATTATGTGTGTCATGCATGTATTTTCTTCACTGGTACAAACTGTGGCCATGGCCGTCATGCTGTGGTTTTACATATGTGCTTGGTATGTCATGCAGACTGTTGAGTCATGAGTTCTTAATAACCTCTAGGCCTAGTGTTATTGCAGTCATATCAGTGTTGTTAAAAGAGAAGACCACAGTTTGGGCTCGTGTTACAGACAGTGCCACTAATGCCGTCTGTCTCCAAGAGTTATCAGCTCCTTCACAATAAGATGCCTCAACAACCCACAGCCCCAATATGAAGTGCACATCCTCCAAGCAGCATTTCCTTGCTACTTCCCTGTAACCACGCAAACACCCTTTTCCCTGTAACACCCATCCCCCCGAAGGCTATAAGGTCACAAACCAGAAAATTAAGATAAAGCTTTGTAGCAACAACATACTCAAACAATACATTTTTAAGCTCATATCACTATCGACATATCTGACCCCAGAACCGCCATGTTATCCAAATGATTTGACATTTTCATTGCTTATTTAGGCAGGCCTCAGCGTGCTCTGATCTGCCTTGTGAGTTCTTCCCACTCAGCAGACACACTCCAATTCTATCCAAAAGAAAGTGCCAAATTCTTGTACTACTTTTTACACATTGCCAGTGCTACATGTTCGACTGTGATTCCCTGTGATACAGACAAACTGTTGAGGAGTTAAAGAGAGAAAGATCTAAGGGAGCATTTGTCACTTTTTAAATATTTATACTTCCGAAGAGGCTTTAGTGTCTCCTCTTGTCTTCTTTATGACTTTTCAGTGTAGGCTAATGACCTCATTAGTTGCTGTCAAAGATGAGTTACGTGTTAAAGATTATTTCACGGCGGATCCAAGTATTATGCTCTATGCAAATGAAATCATTTTAATAATCTTGATCTGTATAAATGAACTGGAATAAATTCTTCATACTAGCCACTGAGTACCAACCTGCTAAAATAGCTGGGAGGGGCTTTATGTATAGTAGCCTCAATGGGCCTTTAATATTGGTCATGACATCATCACCTCTGTCTACATCTCAAATACAGTAACACACACTTATTTAAAAACTATGGTGAAATTATGAATCTAAGAATCTAAGGTACAGTAGATCCATGGCTATTAGGTTTCATATATGGTGGAAATTTCTATATGTAGGCCTATTATATTTTAGTCATATATTAGG